TTTGAATATATGGCATATTAGATAGCAGAAATTTCAAAGTAAAAGAGAGGCTAAAAATAACCCTAAATTGGTCCCTCAACTTTAGAAAGAAGCTCCTTTTTAGTCCCTTTTCTTTGAAATTTCCATCATATAATGTTAAAGCTTAACGGAGAGACTAAAAAATGGGCCAAATTTCAAATTTTAAGAATCAAAAAGGGATTTTTTTAGTAAAGGGACTAAAAAGAAATTTTTTACCAAAATAGAGGGACCAAATTAGGGTTTTAACCAAAATTATATAAAAATTCTTAAAATCAAATATAACTTATATTCAACTTGGATCCAAAAATACTACTAATAGACAACACTAAGAACTGCCCCTTGGCCCATTAAGACCTAGTAATGCATAAGAATTGGACTAAGGTTCTGGGCTTTTATCAGGGCTGTGGGCTTTTATCAGGGCTGTCCTGGTTAAATGCCTACTTTATCACCAATTTTAATGGTCTAAAATCTTAGATGGAGTGACTCGACCAGACCCTGAACAAAATTTTCAATGTTTCAACAATCTTAAACTTCAACCTCACTGAAAAGAGATTGAAAGAAGCTGGCAATTATGAGTGATCACAATGGTATATATGTATATACTGAGTGGTAATTATAATGGTTATTTGATTTGAATTTACTTTTGTATTGTAGGTGAGATATTGTTATTAATTCATGGGATTTGTTGGACTTAATTTTGGATTTTTAATTTAATTTCATAATTTTTGTTCCTTATTTTCCACTTAATTACCACTTAAATTCTAACAAATTTTTTATTATTTTGAAGGATTTTAAAAGTTGAGATTTTCATATTTTTTAAGGTATGTTGCTGGATTTTGGTTTTTTTGAGGAAATTTATACTTTTATTTATTTTTTATGTTATTTTTTAGTATTCTTTTAATTTCATTATATTTGTAAAAACTACATTTTGTGTGTTCTATAATTGGATATATCGAGATCTTGAGTAATTGAATTTCAATATTTTGTGCACTGTCATTATATTCTTTGAAAGTATATATAATTTATTGAAAGTATGAGTTTTATATTGTGGTTTATCAATATTTGACTTTTTTTTTTTTTCCTCTGGAACCAAAACGTTCCTTCATGCTCCATGTCAGTAAATGGTTAATATCTTTTTTTATTATAAAAATTCGAGTACCTTTACATTGTTGATAAGTAAACTTATGTCATGTCACTGAATTGTATTTAAATAAATTAGAACTAAAATTATTCATGATTATAGTGGTATATTACATGTTGCTGAAAATGATAGGAACACATAACACACATCGGTGAAATATCAAAATTTAGGTACGAAGTAAATAATACAAAAAAAAAAAAAAATTTCCACATAGGTGAAATGTGTATTCACCGACGTAACAAGCGTTGCTATATAATGTATGAACTCTGGAGTTTAACAAGCCTTTATATAGACTCATAAAGCACGTCAGTGACTTTAAATATTCACCAACATGGCTTAGCTTATTGCTTAGAGTTGAGGATTCTGGCCATCGATTCGGTGATTATTACTTAGCATTGCTTAAGACGTTAGTGAATTTCAGTAAATCACAGGTGCACTTTGAGCCACACATTTATGTTTATATTATCAAGGCTTTTTCACGATGATCTTTGCCGATGTGGCTCACGATACTACGCTATTTTCACCCACATGTAGCAAGCTTTCAGTAACGCGCTTGCCCATTGCTATTACTCTGCCCTCAAATAGTGAGATTTTTCCACCATTGTTTAGCAACTGTCATACCAAATATTAGTTATTGATTGTTTTTTTTTTTTGCCCAATTTTTGGTTATTTTTCGCTGCTATTTCAACCCTTTAACATGTACAAAAAAATTCTATTAAGTAGCAGTAGTTTTTTTTGCTAAAAAACACCACCTTTTTTTTTATGCACTAAAAAACACCCTTGTATATAGCTCTGTTATATGTTAAAATTCTGCATGGTTTCAGCCCTTGTTATGCTTCGGTTTTGATTGGATTTTAGCACCTAAAAGGGAAATTTTTTCATCAAAACATTATTTTAATGCTCAGTTTTTATGCTGTAACAAGACAGCATTTGTTCAAGTTGTTTCCTACAAAGGCTACACTTAACCATTCTAAAATCAGTTATGAACAAACTAGAATTTTAAATTCATTTGGCTGTTGTTTCCATAGTTTCGTTGCTTAAGATATGCTTTGTTCCGTGTAATGTTCCAACTCTCGTACAACTCGGTAATGACTAGAAAAAATTGTTCTAGTCTAAAATGTTGTTGTGGTGTAAGTTAGGCAATTGGTTGAGGGTTGAGGAACTGAATTTATATGCATATTAATGTGAAGTTTTCGCCTTGATATTATTAATATTTGGATAAGTTTTATAAGATTTTATATGATTTTTTATAATTTTCATTATTTTTGTAGAAAAGGACTTCATTGAGAGAAATTATAATTTTTAAGGGCAAATTGTAGAGATCAGAAAGTTGAGGATTAAGTTGCGTGGAATTCAGAAGTTAGAGACCAGGACTCTCCTTTTTTACCATGGAAGGCCAAAAACCCGACACGGAGTTTTGATTTAACGCTTGACTAAAGGTGTCGGCACATTATTAAGGTGTTGACCCCTTATGCGATTTAAACTTGATTTTAGTATGGGTCTCACTTTTATTCTAATTAGCTTTTTTAAAATTTTATAAATAATCATTTAAATTCAGAATAAAAGGACAGCTCTGGGTACTAGTAACAGCTCTCTTTTAAATATTTTTAGATATTAAAATAAAAGATTTATTAATAATAAAAAATAAAAAATTTTAATTTTCTTAAATTGGATTTCATTTTTTTAGATTATTTTTATTTATTATTTGATATTTTTATATTCATAACTATAATTTCAAATTTTATTACTTTTATTATGAATTAATTTAGTCTACAAAGGTTACGATGTAGCTTAATTAATTTAGTATAGATTTTGTAATTTTTATATTTTTAATTAAAGTTATTTACATAATGAGTTTATATTATTAAATTTAATGCATTGAGAGTCTAACCACCTTTCAATTGATTTAGTGATTTATGCATAAATTTGAGAAATAATTGTGTAAATTAAACTAATAATAATATAAATCATGTGTTAAACTATGATATTAAGAGATAATTAGTGCCACATGTGATAGTAGAGGAAGAGAAGAGAGTTAGGAGCTCTACATTCTTAAACTGAAGGTTTCTATATAATTTAATACTCACCGATTTATTTTAAATTATATAAAAATATGACTAATTTAATAAATAAGTAAAAAATTAATTTGACTTAAGAAAACTAGTTAATTAATTTAGAGGAATCTACCATTACATGCAATAACACTCAACAAATTGGTCATTAAAGTACAACAATATGAAATTTATGCTAATTGGTTATGGTAAAGTCAATGCCTCAGGACCTTACATCTTAATTAGTTTTATTTTAATTATTATTTTTTTATTTTTAATTAAAATTTCTTCCTTTTCAATTGTTTAAATAAATTTATATTAATTATTTTTAATACTTAATTAATCATAATTCTCGTAAATTCGACACTCTTTTCATCATTATATTACTTAGAGCGACTAATATCTTGTTAGAGTGATTTTAACCCATTAAATTTTTAGTGCTGTTGTCAAGGATTATTAAATCTAATTAATATCGAAACTATTTGATTTTAGATTTGATTTGAACATTTTCTTTTCTTTTATTTCTTCACTTTGATTTTTTCTTTGTTTCCTTTATATTATTTTCGTAGGTTTAATTATAAATCAAGTTTTCATATACACTAATATAAATTATCAATGTCTTGCTCCAGAATTAAGGGCACACGTTAATGCAATAACTATCAATTGGCAAGCAAAACTTGACAATGATGAACTGGAACAATTTCAAGCAGTCACTAAAAAGTTTGAATTAAAAAAGGCCATAATAAAATCATTTAATATTACTTGTTGATGGTGTGAACTAAAGTATTTTAGTTCTGATTGTTATTTTAAACCATCTAACATACATGCAAATTTTTCTTGTGATTTTTATAACTAGTAATATAATTCTCATTCCAACACATGCAACTTTGGTTGGATAAATTATCCAAACTCCTCAAAGAAAAATGAAGTTATATTGGAGCCACAATCAAGGTTTCAAGCTCAGGGAAGAGGAAACATATTTGGATAGAAATGTGGAAGTCAATCAAGTCATTCACTTAATTTAGTTGCTAAAGAAATACAAGGTGAGTTACCAAGTCCAAGAATGAAAAATGAAGAAGTGGTAAACACTTTACGCTTGGAGATTCAAAGGACAACTTGGAGAAGCATGAAGTATACTTGCAAAAACTAAACAAGAGGATATTGTTAAGGAAGAAGAGGAAAAAGCTCAAGTATCATTTGAAGTGTTCAATGGGAAGTCTCCATTAACCAAAACTGATTTTAATGATTATTTTATTATTGACATGGTTGATGAGATTTTGCAAGAAAACACTTTTGAGAATCCATTTGAGATTTATCTTATTCAAGAAAAGGACACAATCAAAGAATACATAAATTGCTTGAATCATCTTACTTGGAGTCAAAGGGGGCAATCCTAAATGAGAAGGTACATCTCTTGACCTAAACCAACCACCTCAAAATAGTAATTCGAGAAAATCTTATGGTAAATTCATCAACTTAATGACAAGAAAGCCAAAATTCAAGAAAATGAGAGGCAAAACCCCAGAGAATGCCCTTCAACTTTTTCAGTTTGTAGGATTTTATCTCTCACATTATACCACATAATTTTATACCCTCTCAGTATTTAAATTTATGATAATAAAACAATATTTAATGTTAAGGGCCACCTGCACCGTTAACTTGTGTCATACATGTACAGGTCAATGATACATGGGCTTATTTTTACATGCTGGCGATTCAGCTTAAATTGCTCGTTAGTGGAACCAAACAATTTAATTGTGGGCCCATATGAGTTGAAAAAAAAAAAAAGGACGAAAGTCAGTAATTTATCCTCTCATCATCATCCCTTCTGTTCAATCTCTTCCTTCCTAGGATCTCCATCTCCAGTAAACTCAAACCCATATTCTTGTTTCTTTGGACATGCTTTTGCCTTTATTTTGTCGAGTCACTGCTGGTGTCCTCCACCACTGAGGTGGTGCCTTCGACGAGCTCCCATGCGATGACCAATTGCCGCCTTCATCCTCGTTCTTCTCTCTCCCAACCGACGACATTCCCCGATCTATCACCCTGCGAGATATTCAATCACCAACAATTGATTCCTCCATGTAGAACATATTTGATTGTTGTTTTTTAAGTCGTACGGAGAAAATCATTGAGAGCCAGGAAGAGGATGGAGATGATGACGGTCCTCGTAAGAATCTGGGGGAGCAGCCTTAGGATCCAAATTCAATTTCTCAAATCTCGACCTGAATAGGTTGGAAATTAACAATAACCTACTTTTTTTCTTGTTGAATACTCCAGAGGTAGCGAAATCCATGGTGGTGGTGACGCTGCTGTACGTAGGGCCGACCTGAGGCATGCTATAGAAGCGTTGGTGGTGGGAGCAGGAGACAGAGTTGCCATCAGATTTTCGTCGACTAACATAGGGTTAAACAGAGTGGGGAAAAAGTAGAGGATAATAGCAACAATGGAGTCGAGGAGAGAGAAGACTAAAAGGTAACAATTTTGAAAATTTGATTTTGGGTTTTTAAGGGATACCAATTATTTAGAATAAGGAAATGGTTAATGGGTCAAGGATGGAGGGATAGATGTTTGCCGGAGAAACAAGAATATGGGCTTGAGTTTGCTGGAGATGGGGATCCTGGGAAAGAAGACATTGAACGGAAGGGATGATGATGAGAGGATAAATTACGGACTTTAGTTTTTTTTTTTTTTCAACTCATATGAGGCCCACAATTAAATTGTTTGACTCCGCTAATGAGTAGTCTAAGCTGGACCGCTAGCATATAAAAAAAAGCCCACATATCATTGACCTGTATGACCCCTCAACACTAAATATTGCTTTATTATCATAAATTTAAATATTAAGAGGGTATAAAATTATATATTATAATATAAGGGGTGAAGTCCCAAATACTCAAAAAGTTGAAGAACATTTTGTGAGGTTTTTCTAAAAACGAGAAGATATACTCTATGCCTTAATCCAAAACTACCTTGGAGTAGTAGAAAATTTAGCTAATAACTATAAATTAAACGCTTTTTGGGAGGCAACCCGAGCATAACTTTTCTTTTCTTTTATTTTAGTAGTTTAAATTTTTTTTTTCTCTTTGTGGTTCAGGTTAATGCATAAATATGGAAAATTCACATCTCACTAACAGAAAAACCACTTTAAATCTTTATGTGCCAATATCAAGCAGTTTCTTTTCTCCTTTCTTTACTTTAACATGTTTAGTTTAATTTAAGTTTGAGGAAAAGAATTTTAATTTTGAAGAGTTCAAATTCTACATGCAAGGATTCTTTTTACTGTTGCCATTGATTAAATTTTTTGCTAGGATAGCTCTCATTTTATTTTCTACTTAAATGTGTCGATCATCATGCTTTGATTTTTTATCCTGAGTATGGTTCATGAATGCAGCTATTTATCATTATTAGGATGCACGTTGAAAAAAGTATCGGGAGTTTATGCATGAGACCTAACATTATCCTTTACATTGGAGTTGTAATTGCCCATTAGGCTGGCAACTTGTTTATGAATTTTGGTTAGATTTAGTAATGATTGAATTTTAAATTGTAGGGCCATGCATGTTTCATACATTTGTTAGAAAAAATGGACACACATCACTTATTATGTTCTTCAATGTTGTGTCTTTAAATTTAAGGCAAATTTATTTGATTCGTTGAGTATTTTTGCTTATAAATTGTTGTTTTTTTATTTTGGCTACGTCATTGAACATGTTTGGGGGAGGAGATTATGGAAATTCACATACTTGAAGTCTCCTTTAGTTGAAAACAACTCAACTTCAAAGCTTAAATTTTAAGCCTTCAAGTGCAAAACCTAAAAAGTTTCTCTTTTCTTTTACTTCTATTTTACATTGAGGACAATGTTTGACTTAAGTTTGGAGAGAATAACTTTGAGTTGTCCATTCTTACATTAGTTTGCATTCAAATTAGCATGACAAACAATTTTTTTTTTTTTAGAAATTAGGGTAAATTTTTTTTAAAGAGTTAGTCCAATTAGTGTCAAGAAATTGAATATTCTTGAGTTGAAAGTTCAAAAAACTTTTAAAATTTTTGAATCTTAGAAGAGATATAAAATCTAAAAAATAATACTATTGTGATGAAATTTAAGTTCATGAGCATTCTATTCTACTTGAGCACAAGTTTACAGTAAGAAGTTTAGAAGAAAAACTTAGTGGCACCTAAAAAGCACATAAAGGGAAAAAAAAAAGGAAAAAAAAAAAGAGGAAGAGAAGCCAATACACAAGAGTTTGTTAATTTATACTTCAATATTTCTAGTTGCTTAATAATTAAGGGTTAGGCATAAGACCCATGTCAGCTTTCACATCAAATAGTGACTTGAAATATGAGTTTGTAAAGTACTTTGATTTTATGACTTATTGAGTAATTTGGTGCTTTTATCGCAAATGTTAGTATTCATGTCAAAAGACAAATGATAACTTCGAGAAGAATGTGTTGTATGGCTAAAGAAAAAAAACAAAAGAAAAGAAAAGTCAAATCTTTTATGGCCTTTGTTACCTGAGTAAGTATATTCTTAGGGTTGTCTCTTCACCTAATACTCTAAAGCCAACTAGTTTGGGAGTCATTGACAAAAAACTCGTTATATGGGTAACTTAGAAAGTTTAAGGAAACTCGACACGAGAGAGAGAGAGAGAGAGAGAGAGAGAGAGAGAGAGAGAGAGAGTGTGTGTGTGTGTGTGTGTGTAATACCCCAAAATTTTGAGTACTTATGTTGAATAATTAATTAATTTGTGTATGAGAAGACTAATCTAAAAAGGGATTTTAATAAGGAACCAAGTTGTCTAACTCTTCAATCTTTGGGGATGTTAGTAGTAAAAAAAAAAGGGAAAAGGATGGACGGACAGAATAAAAGGGAAAGGAAAACCTAATTCCTTTTTATTTTTCTCCCTTCTCTTTCCGCGTTTCCCTCTTCTCTTTCTGGTTTTTCCTATCCTCTTCCATTCTAAATCCAAAACCCTTGAAGCCTTCAACTTCCTATTCCCCCTACAATGCTTCTTCTTCTTCTTTGAATAAAAAATTTTGCTAGTTATTTCTTCTTTCTTATCAGTGATCGATTGCTCGATGGGTGTTCTTCCTACAACTTTTCTAGTAAGAAATCAGCCATGTTTCTCATCTTTTCATCTTTGATTTGAAGTGAGTTAGCTCTAATTATTTAGGGTTTTAAATTTTGGGAGTGTGTCTGTAGTTTCCCCCTTAATTTCGCACATAATCTAGCATCATTAGATCTGATCCCTCTTTCTGTTGCAAATTTGGGTAACATGACCTTGTAGTAGTATTTTTTCCATAACTCTTTTTATAGTTATTGGATTAAGTCAATTTTTCATTCTATAGAAAGCTAAGAGATAGCCATACAATTTTTATGTTGGACATTTAACCCAATTAAGCTGTTTTGATGGTGAAAACTTTGCTGCAACTTCGATTTCCACTGATGAACTTAGCTAGCAGTCCGATCCTAAGTCAGTATTTTGGCTATAACTTTCTCTATAGATGTCAGATTAAGGTGATTTTTGAGGATATAGAACGTTAAGACATAGAGTTACAAGTTATCTGTTGACCATTTAGCCCAAATTGGTCAATTTCTAGGTGAAAATTTTGTTGGAACTTCTAGTTCAGGATTTGACCAGAACAGCTCTCAAAAAGTACCTAGAAATTTGCCCTGTTTTTTGCCTTATTCCTACAGTACCTACTACCATATTATGTCATGATTTTACTAGATAGTTAGCTGCTATTTTCCTACTCTAAACCCCTCTGTTATTGCTTTGTTTTGGCTGCCCTTTTGCTACTACATTTTTTGCTTGAATGACACCCTATTTTGGTTGTATTCTGCATTGTTTTGCTACTGATTGCACCCAGAATTCTTCGCTGTTTCTGCCTAGAAAATCCCTATTATTCAGGACTTTTTTCAATCATTTTAGAACTATTATAAATAGAAAAAATCCCCACCATACTGCCTAGCTTTTGTGCTACTAATTGTGGTAGTTTTGAGCTTGGTTTTCTCACATTTTTCACTTTGTTTTGTCTAGCAAATTGCCTAGTAAACCACCCATATGTAGAGTCTTTTGTTGCTATTTTAGGCATGTTTTAAGAATGATTATGCATAGGAATATATATGCATATATTAATAGGGTTTTAATGGGTATAGGTGACCAAGATGGGTAGGAGGAAGTTGTTTCCTTGGTTAGGAACTTGATTTTGGAATTTGAAACCAAATTAGTAAATGAAGTATGTTGTAATCTCGTTTGTCCTTTGATGTGGTTTAGGTTCTAAATCACCTCAAACACCTTGATTTCTTGAGTTCCTTGATTATTGTATAGCGACAAGACGAGGTAAGCAAAATTATGGTAAATACCCTTGTATTTTAAAGTAAATATTTTTAAAGTATATTTTGAACTATTTTTGAAGTGGTGGCGGGACTAAACTCATTTTACACAAAAATGAGCATAATTGGTTTAAAATGAAATTGTTATCATTTATTGATTTGAGCATGCCTACTTGGAATATATTGAATTGTTCTGATAACCTAAAATTGGTTTGTAAATTATAGATTTTCCTATGACTTCTGCCTGGTTTAATCTCCAATATAATCATGCTTTACTGTGCCCGCTAGTGAGAGGTTTATAAACGTTAGCACATGTCGACATGTATTCCTAGAAACCGGTTTGTCTTGTTATTCCTGGGATAGTACACTGGTTATTATTGTGCTCGCCAATGGGAGGTTTATTAATGCTGGCCATGATTTATAGAGAAGACATCTATTTCATTCCCATACTTGTACCTGTTTTTCTTCATACTTGATTACACTTGTTGGCATGCTATAACTTTAAGTAAGGGCCATCCATATTTTTACTTGCTGAATTATCTCACATAGTTTTCCTCGTCCACCATTTTAGGTAGTGAGACCCGAGATATGGGAAACCAAGTGGAGTGACGAGCTAGAAAGCTAGTCATTTGTATTTTGGACATAGATTTTGAGATATAGATCATTATTTTGTATGCTAGATTTTATTTTGAGATATTGATCTAAATTTATATGAATTGTTAGTTATGAATTTAATAAGTTCCGAGCCTTATGCATTTGTGAGATTTTCTCACAAGTGTATGGCATCTGTTTTACTCTCGGTTTTGGGACGTGAGAGAGAGAGACAAAATAATAATAACAAGTGCTAAAGTGTGAAGGTCTAAATTCAAAACTTTATACTAGGAATTTTTATACATACATAAAGTGCTTATGAGTTAAATCTTTTGAGAAGTGGTTTGAAGAATATGATGGAGTATTTGACTTTAAGTAAATGTATGAAAACTCTTGAATATTTAAGACTTTGTATCTTATTAAACTTTAATTTCTAAATTTTCTTTGCATGCATATCATGTAGTTGTATTCTTGCATTAGGATTTTGTGGGTAAATCCATTGAAAATCACGAGACATAACTCGTCCACTAAGATGACCTAGGGGTTTAAAGGCTTGTTGTACATGCTAAGTGCATTTGTGATTCTTACGAAAGTGAGTTAGATTTTATTTTCTTATTGTTTATTTTTTTTTATTTTATTCAAAGATAGTAAAACTTAAGTTTGGAGGAATTTGATGAGTTGAATTTATATACATATTAATGTGAAGTTTCTGCCCTGATATTATTAATATTTGGATGAGTTTTATAAGATTTTACATGATTTTATATAATTTTCATTATTTGTGTAGAAAAAGACTTAATTGAAGAAATCATAATTTTTAGGAGCAAAATGTAAAGTTCAGAAAGCAGAGGATTAAGTTGCGCAGAGTTTAGAAGTTAGAGACCAGGACTATCGTTTGACCTTGGAAGGCCAAACACCCGACACGGAGTTTTGATTTAGCGATTGACTAAAGGTGTTGGCACGTTGTTGAGGGTGTTGACCCCTTATGCGATTTAGGCAAACTCGTGGCTGGCTTATAGTTTGGTGTGGGTCTCACTTCTATTTTAATTAGCTTTTTTAAAATACAATAAATAGTCAACTAGTTTCAAAATTAAAGTAGAGTTTTGGAAGTTGGTGATAGCCTTCTTTTGGACACTATTGAAGATCAAGATAAACAATTTATCAATACTAAAAAATCGAGAATTTCAGTTTCCTCAAATTGGATGTTTTTTTTTTAAATTATTTTTATTTATTATTTGATATTTTTATATTCATAACTATAATTTTAAATTTTATTACTTTTATTATGAACTAATTTAGTCTACTAATGCTACAATATAACCTAATCAACTTGGCATAGACTTTGTGATTTTTATATTTTTAATTAAAATTATTCACATAATAAGTTTATATTATTGAATTTAATGCATTAAGAGCTAAATTACGTTTCAATTGATTTAGTGATTTATGCATGAAAATAATAATATAAATTGTGTATTAGACTATGAAACCAAGAGGTAATTAGCATCACATATGATAGTAGAGAAAAATAAGAAAGTTAGGAGTTCCTCTTTCTTAAGCTAGAGGTTTTTATAGAATTAAATGCTCACCGGTTTGTTTTAAATTACATAGAGATATAACTAATTTAATAAATAGATGAAGAATTAATTTAACTTGAGGAAACTATTTAATTAATGGTTTAAGTACCATTTTGATCCCTCAACTTTTCACTTTGGCACCAAAATTATCCCTCAACTTTAAAAAGTACCAAAATTATCCTTAAACTTTCATTTTTAGTACCAAAATGGTC